TCCCCACAGCTTTCTTGAGAAAGACGGCTTTTTTTTTTTGAAAGAGTGAACCACAGAATAGATAAATTATTTTGTACCGTCAGTTTTGTCTGTGTCCTCAAATATGTTGTGCCCTTGTGGACGTAACAGGGACCAACCAAGGGCCCATCGAGGAAAGAAAGAAGGGAAATTTTGAATGGCACCTACTGTGTACTCCAGTTAACGATTAATCTATTAATAAATTAGTTGACGATTATTTCATTAATCTGTTTGTTTCAGCCATAATAATAACCTTCATTTAAACGGATAAAACGTCACTGAAATCTAAAATCTCTTTCAAATAACTACCACAGATGTTTCCCTCTAATTTGTTCCTAATTTCTGTCCCCATTTCATTAGACCTCAGGTGTGCTGCTGTGTAGGTGGGATGTAGACCAGCGATAGCAGCTCCCCCCCTTCCCTCCCACTCAAAGGGATTTTTTCTCATCAATTCTGCCCTTGGAGTGGACTGATTAGCAGCGGCTGCTGCAGGGACAGAAAAGCAGAGCGGTTCTTTCAGATGGACTCCGACCAGCTGACAACCTAAAGGCAAGTCAGATTCTAAAGCATCACCTGTGCAATAACTCCACATCTGCAAGGTTACAGGTCAGGAGTGGAAATATGAGCGTCCTCCGCCGCATTTCTATTCAGCTTCACCTTCTCAATTTTTCAGCGGCTTTATAAAAGAAGGCCAAAGCGTTATTGGAATACAGTAGCCAACAGGCAGGGCAGCACCACCTTAATCACCTCGGAAGGAAAAGATCCACTTTTAACATTCCTGACTGGCAACAGACACAGAAACACAAAACTAAGAATGATCAAATCCAGCTCACATTTTATTGTTTTCCAAGGAAGTTTCTGTTAGCTCTTTGGAACCAAGAGTATAAATGATTTGCTTTTATCAGGTTCAAGATGGTTTGAACCTTCTAGATCTGTGCTGCTGATCCGTTACCCCCAGATTCCACATCTTCCCCTTCCCACATATGAGAACTGTTCCACATCCACCATTACTGCTCCGCACATCACGTCTCCTTCACCTCAAAAATATGTAGCTAAGCAATTTTTTACTCCTCTCCAGTCCTTTGGAAGCCAATCAAGTAAAGATCTGCAATTGCAATCACACCAAACAGGAAAAGGAACGTCAAGAAGCTCCGGTTTGTCAATTTAAAATACGGTAGAGACAGATCAGTAACTACAAATTAGAGCATAATTCTTATGTTTTCCCCAAAACTAAGACTGTTAAATTATTGGATGCAAACTATCGATACTTCAATATACCAGGAAGCAGATGAGCAGAAGAGCGCGTCTGAGAACTTATGGAGAAACTTCTTATGGCAGGCATGAATAAAGAGATGCTGATTTTGGAAGCAGTGGAACAAATCACATTTTTTATGATTTTTCCTGTTTGGGCATTCCTGTTTTCCACTGAAGCTGCTAAATCATATTTTTTTCCATGATTTTATCCCATATAACATATTGTCTAATAAGTTGGTCCAATACTCACTCTACTACAATAAAACCAATAGAAACATTATATAAACAAGCATTAAAAATACTGGATAAAAAAACCATACCGTTACCATCACTGTAGTATTCTGAGGAAGTATCAGTTACTCACCTGGAACAATCTTATCAAGTTCAAAAACATCTGTTTAATTTATAAAATCAGACATGGTTTAGCACCAGCTCCACTATGTGACTTTGTACAGTTCAGATCCAGTGAGGTCAGGGTAACCAGAGGGGCAGTGAGGGAAGACTGCATCATTCCCCGGAGAAAAACAGCCTTTGGTCAGGCTGTCTTCTCCGTAAGAGCATCTCAGCAATGGAACACAGCGCCAGAAACCATCAGAGAGTCTTTGTCATTCCCTTCATTCAAAAAGAATGCAAAAAAACTGGCTTGTAGAGAGCCACATTTGTGGGCACTAAGGTTTTTTTTGTGTGTATTTAAATAATTTTACAATTACAATTAATTTTCAATCATTTTACCTGAATTTTATTTCTTAACCA